ACCTGCAGGCAAATTGAAATGGCGCTCGGGGGGAGTCGCGGCGGAGCTGCAAATGGCACGGGCGGAGATGGGCCACCGCGCGCGGCTGATTGTCCGCAGCCGCGCGTGTGTTATCACCAGGCCAAAATTGACAGCTTCGTCCGCCCCGGAGCGCCCGAGAATGTGTGCGCCACCCAATCAGCCGCCCAGCCCGTGTCCCCCCAAGTGGAGCCGACTGCCAGGAAATTATTCTCTTCGCCTGAAACACACGATCTGCGTCGCACTAGCCGCCTGCCGCCGCGCTAACCATGTCTGCCCTGTGCTGGCCGCGACCAGGAGAGAGGGCAACATTGCATATCCCATGACAATTCGTGACATTGACACTAGCACCGCGGGGCGCATCACAGCGCAGTCGCACTCGACGTGCGCTGCCACCGGCATCGACAAGATAGGATACAAACGACCAGCCTACTCCGTCGCCTCGATTGCGGCGATGTGCTTCTTCGCCTCTTCGTCCCCCACTGCGTTCAGAACCTGGAGCATCACGACGTCATGTCAGCACCCTGAGGGACAGGCTACACAGGTGATCCCATCATGCGCACCTCCAGCAGCTTCTCGACGTACTTTGCCTGGGCTTCCTCCTTGGACAGGCCCTCGACCGACTTCCACGCATCCCTGAGCACGGCATCAGCACGTTGTCCTCCATCACGGTGGCGGCGACACACCCGGGAGAAGGGCCGGGGTAGTGCCCCATCACTCCCTGCGCAGGGCGGGGCGGTGCAGGCCATCAGAGCACTAGGTCGCAATCAATCTCTCACCATTTCGCCTTGCCCACAAAGTCGAGCATGCCCGGCCGGGTCGTGTTCACGTTGCCCACCGTCGCTGCGCGGTCGCACGGTCAGCCTCGGGTATCGGCCTGTCTGACAGCGGCGTGCACACACACCTTGCTTGTAATGCTTGTAGAACTGGCACGAGGAGGCTCGAGTGAGCGATGCCTGGGAGAGACGGTGAACGATACTCACGTAAAGCTGGTCGTCCTGCGAGGGCTGGATGGGCCCGTTCTTGGGGAGACCCTGAACGATCTCGACGGCCTTGTTGAATTTGGCTTCGGAGACGGGCATGGTGGAGATGAGGAGGGGACGAGCAGCAGATGGGCGCGGATAAGATCAGCTTATAGAACGTGGTACGCTGGGGCTGGGGCGGCAGACTCCGCTTCTTCGTCCGCTACCCGTCCAGAACGGATTGGGGATGGCGGCGGCGGCGACACGATGGGGACGATTGGGGGGGGGAGGGGAACATGTACTATAGATACTATGTATCTCGCACTGTAGGCGCGGAGCTGCTACGACTGGCGACGCGGCGGGCTGTATGAGTTTGTGTGCGCATAAACTGCACGCGAGTGGCGTGGAGAGATTCCGCCCAATCTTCCGCGCTCGATACCTCTGCGGGCGCGCGGTCGTGGTGCCCCTGGCCAATCTGCAGCATGGATATCTCGACGCAAGCGCACGATCGCCCCAGATGCGCGCCGTCCCGATTGTCGACAGCCCACAGGCGTCGGGGAGCGAGCGATGAGGCTCCTCTCGAGTTCGCTAGCCATCCGCGGCGGGGCAGCCACCGTGCACGCCACCCGATAAGACTCCGCCCAACTCCGCTGGCCCGCGTGTCGTTGCCATCTGAACCGACGACGACGACGACGTGCACGCCTGCGAGGGAGCTGCTCGTCATTTCTTGTCATTTTCTGCTCAACTTGCCATGTCACGCTCTGCCCCGCCTCCCACGCACCAGGAGGTCACCCGGAAGCTCTCTGTCCACTCCAAGCCTCCTCCCAAGGTGCGTGTCTTCTATTATTATATCATCCGCCTATCGAACCCTGCTCCTCCAGAAATCTGCCACGCCGGGCCCTGTCTCTGGCACAGAATCCGATTCAGACTCGGTCTTCTCCCCCGAGGCCTCGTCTGCCCTCGCCGCCGCAGCAAGTGGCGCAGGCCTCGCCACCAGCCCGTCCCAGCAGCCACACCTCTCGTCCATCGCCGAACGGCACTCCGCCAGCGGCGAGGAGTCTGACGAGGATGACGAGGATGAGCCAGACTGGAGGGCCTCTGCCGCCGCCGCCAAGGAGCGCGGGTCCCTCGATGAGACCGTGCTGATGACAGGCTACCTCTGGAAGAAGGGCGAACGGCGCAAAGTATGTACCTCCGCTCCCTCGCCGACGCCACAGACATCACTCACCCACAGACCCTGCATCCCTGAACCATTCTCCCCGCCCCCGCTCCCCCGCGCAGACCTGGAAGAAACGCTGGTTCGTGCTCCGCCCCGCCCACCTCGCGTTCTACAAGACGTCGGCAGAATACAAGCTGCTGCGGCTCCTCGACCTGACCGAGGTGCACGCGTGCACGCCCGTCGTCCTCAAGAAGCACGCGAATACATTCGGGCTCGTCTCCCCTACGCGCACGTTCTACCTCCAGGCCGAGGCGCCGCGCGAGGTGCAGGCCTGGGTGGTGGCAATCAACGACGCGCGCACTGCCCTCCTCGCGACGTCCACGCAAAACTCCGCCACCGCTCCCGTCCCAATCCCCCCGGGGAGTGCGGCGCGCAACACGCCCCGCGCAGGCTCACAATCTCCCCACGCAAACCCTCTCACGTCGTCCGACTCGGACGACGCGTCCCCCGCAGCAGCGACGACTGCCCGCAACGAGGCCTCGCCGTCGAAGCAGGCCGGCGCCCCGCACGGGCTGAAGGTCGTTCTCTCGGGATACCTCATGAAGTGTGGTTCCCGGCGGCACAATTGGCACAAGCGCTGGTTTGTGCTCAGCGGAGAGAAGCTCGTCTACTCCCGGAGCCACATGGTGCGTGGCCCGTTCTAGTGCCTGCGAAGCGGAGGAGGCCCGCCGGGGCGCCTTCGGTCGCGGGCTACTGCTGCTGCTTCTCGCTGACGCCGTGCATCGCATTTTCACGCAGGACACGAAGCCGCACCGCGAGATACCACTGTCGCTGATTCTGGACGCCCTCGAGTATGATCTGCCGGCACACCGGCATATGCCCAGCGCGGCCCCGCCGCCGGGGGTGTCGCCGCCGCATGCGCCGCACGCGGGGGGCGACGAGGGCGACGGGGCGCACGGGCGGTACACGTTCAAAGTCGTGACGACGAAGCGGACGCTGTTGCTATGTGCACCAAGCGAGGAGGAGGAGATCAAGTGGCTGAGTGCCGTGCGTGCGCTTATCGCGCGCCGATCGGGGCAAGGCGTCGTGCCAGGGGATGCGGCGCCTGCGGGGAAGGCGATGGCATCTGCAGGAGGTCCGAGCTCGGAGGTGCAGGGAAGCGCGGGGGGTGTGTCCCCATTCCCTGGGAGCTCGGGCGGTGGTGGGGCTGCGAGCTCGAATTCGAGCACGAGCGTGGGGGCGGGAGCGGGAGCGGGGAGGCGGCGGGACTCGTTTGCGCGACGGCTGAGCATGAGCGGGGGCGCGACGCTGGCGACGACGGTCCCGTCGACGACGATGCAGGAAGCGAGCGGTATCTGAACGGTAATCTTGGGGTGTCGGAGCTGCTCGCGGGGTAATACTGTGCGAGGTGCCGGCACAGCATGGTATCTTGGGCGGCGGTGACTGGATCGGGGACGCTCAAGGATGGAGCTGGAACATCTGACATTGGTTCCGTGGTGCCATTAAAAACAAACTTGTGTACAGTAGGATATCAGGCCTGTAATGGGATAGCACGAGGAGGCTGTTGGGCAGGAGGAGACTGGGCATCAGCTGGAGGAATGTATTGGATGTCGGAGGGATAGAACGCCCGCAACACAACATTGTTGGGATCAGACCACAGGACAAGGATGGCTGGGGTAGTCGGAATCTGTCAGGCTGGTGGTGCGAGGAGAGCGTAGATTACCTAAGCGCTGGCATCTGACCATCGTGACTCGAGTGATGCGGCGGCGTGTGTCGGGCCACTCGCTGATGTGCTCGCGTAGCTGGCTTGCAGAGGCTGGTCGTTGTGGGCTCGAACGAGCAGGTGTGTCTGCGATATGTCTTGTGCAATTTTCTTTTATTCTGTTTTTATTTTTTCGCGGGAGAACTGCAGCGCGAGTCGTTCTAGGCGCAGGTCGCGACCGAACGGGTGCCTTGGGAATGGCATGATACGCTCCGATCTCAGCGGCTATGCACACTTATCGGGAGGCCTCATGACCGCCCGTCTTCCTGCGAGCGACGAGCCACGAGGAGGCGAGAAGAGCAGCAGCTTCCTTCGAGCATCATGGGCTGGAGACGAGCTGGAGTGTGCTGCTCCCCAACCTGGGAGCGGGCGCGGGTCTGGCAGGCCGCCTGTCCGCACGCGTCGGGGACCGGGGGCGAGGCGCGTCAGCGGGCTCGGCTCAGCGCTGCGGGGATTGGCTGGCACGAGCCGGCCGAGGGCAAACGACACCGGGGGCGGTGACAAAGCAGGACCCCGCGGGCGTCTATATCAGAGGGTGGTCGGGGGACTTGGGAAATAAGGTTCAGTCGCTGGAAAAGGGAAGGAGACGACGTCTCCCTGGTCGTTCGCACGACTCCCCAGCGCCCAGGAGTACATATACTCGCCCTCGCCCTACCTCCGCCCCCTCCTCGTCTTCCGTCGGTCGTATCCGCCCCCCCCCTCCCCCTCGTCCCCGTCTCCTCTCGTCTACCCATGACCGACAGCCCCCAGAGCCCCTCCAGGAAGACAGTCTCCTCTGTCTCCGCCGCCGCCAGATCTCAGAAGAAAACCGGAGCGCCCAAGCCGAAAGGCGCCGTCCGCGCTAAGTCGGGCTGCTACACCTGTCGGATCCGCAGGAAGGTATGTGCTCTCCTCTCGTGCCCCAGGGTGCACACACATCGACCAGGCGCTGACGGCTGTCTCTCTCTTCGCTTTTTTTTTTCTTTCTTTCCTTCCTGGTGATGTTGATGGTGACGTGGCGCATCTGCACGTTGCCGACAACAGAAATGCGACGAGCAGCCCAACGCAGAGGGCGCGTGCCAGACCTGCGTCCGTCTTCGTCTGCAGTGCCTAGGGTTTGGCGCAAAGCGGCCGGACTGGATGAGGGTCAGTGGTCTCTCCCAGCCCGCATAGGCGCGACAGGGGCTTACGCCACATTGCAGGAGAACAATAGCGTTACCGAATTGCGCGAGAAAATAAAGACGTTCCTCGCCGCCCAGGGCATGATCAAGGGCCACTCGGGCTCGGGCCCGCGCTCATCTGAGCACGAGCCCCAAATGCTCATCCTCGTCGACCATCTTCAGTCATCACCGTCCAGCCCTCCGACGCCGACTCTCTCGGCTGGCTCCAGCGACGGCCACCGGCCGCACAATGCCATGGCCACGTCCTTCGTGCGCGACGGGTCGCACTACCCTCCGCCCATGCACCACGAGCCGTCCTACAGTACGCCAACCAGTGTGTACCCTTTCCTCTTCGATACCGTTCTGAGCCACATTTCCCCCCTAGGTTGGCAACCCTCGGTCCCAGATATGGGCCATCACGATTCCGCGATGGCACGGAGCACAGTGCTGCCTGGCATGCAAGACATGCTCTACCCTCCCCCGCCATCTACTTTGTTACCATCCTCTACTAGTCTAGTGCCCATTGCCTCCTCCTCGTCCTCCTGTAAGACTCAGTACCGTTATTAGTGTATTATGTTGTAGCAATTAATGCCCTCGTTTCTTGGCAGGGCCGGGGCTAATATCACCATCTTCCTACCCAGCGTCGTCGTCTTCGTCCGCATTGACAGTTATGGCACCGGGTGCGGCAAGCTCCTTCTCACCAACATATCATCTCAACGTCAATTACTCTGATACTGACGACCAAGAAGTGCCCGTTGTGGGCCCGAGTATACCTATGCCTGTCAATGGCTATGAGTTCCAAATGATACCAACCGACCAGACGGAGCTTGTCCATCACTACTTCAGCAACGTCCTGCCGATACAATATCTGTTGGCCGATGCGTCAATATCGAGCTTCATGTTCAACCTGATCCAGAGCAGCTCGTCGGCGAGAGATGCGGCATGTGTTCTTTCTGCGCTGCATTTGCACAATGCACGGTATCCGACGCGGATACACGGGACGGACATGGCCTCCATCTACCGACGGATCGAGACGACGTTATCGTCGAAGAAAAATTACAATGAGGGGGATGCTATGGCGGGGCTGCACATCGTCTCGACCTTCCTCTTCTCGGGCGGGCGAGGGCCATGGGGGCCGTACCTGGACATCGCGAGCGAGTACGTGGCAAGCATGCTCACGAACCCACGGTACTACGGGCCCGAGGACGTGCTCAAGAAGTGCTCGGAGAGCACGCGGTTCATCATCAAGACGACGATGTGGTTCGACGTGCTCGCGTCGGTGACGACGCTGCAGGTGCCGCGCTTCCTGGAGACGTACCGCGCGCTGTTCGCGCGGACGAGTGCGTACATCGAGGACCCGGCGTGCGCGTCCGAGATATCGATGCTGCCCGTGATGGGGTGCGAGAACCAGATCGTGCTCGCCATCGCGGAGATCTCGGCGCTGGCGTGCTGGAAGGAGACGCAGGTGCACCGCGGGGCGCTCAGCGTGCCGCAGCTCGTCGAGCGCGGGATCGACATCGAGCGGAGGTACCTGCTCCCGACGGCGGCGGCGGGCGCGAACACGTACGGGGGCGGGGGGCGGTTTGGGTCTGCAGACCCGGAGGTGGCGCAGCGGCGACGGCTGACGAACGACATCTTCCGGGCGTCGGCGCGCGTGTACCTGCACACGGTGCTCTCGGGCGATTTTCCCTCGTGCCCGGAGATTGTCGCGGGGGTCGCGGACACGCTCGAGTGCCTGCGGCGGGTGCCGACGGGCCCGAACCACGCGTCGCTCTCGCGGTCGGTGCTGCGGAGCGTGGTGTTCGGGATATGTATCTGCGGATGCCTCACGGACGACCCGCGCCACCGGACGTTCCTCCTGCACCTGCTCGAGTCGCAGCAGAGCGACAACGTCGGGAACATCTCCGAAGTGCGCCGCCTGATGGAGCAGGTGTGGGCGCGCAGGGAGGGCGCGCAGGGCGCGGCGGTGAACTGGCGCGAGGTGATGCGCGAGAGC